CTAAAGCTAACGGATTCAAAAGCAAAGAAAATCAGTAATGTTTGTTGCCTTAGATCAAATAACACTGCCATCTATTAACTTGTCTGTGTTATAGAAACAATATTTAAGACTCCAAGAATTACAAATTTATAAAGTCTATTAAGTTGAAATAGACCTTAGAAAGCACCCAGCAGAAATCCTTTCCAAAGAAATAATCCATTCTACAATCCAGACTCTTCCAGGGACAAACACATGCTCCTTTTGGGAGGGAGTTCCTTTCACTGTGGGAAGGCACAAGCAACTCATTTCATATCACACTCACAGCCCTCTTTGAGTAACAATACTTCATGCCACATCTTTCCAGAGAAACTAAATTACCTGTCCTGAGCACACTGGATTTGGTATTCTGAACATTAAATCTAGTAATTGGACCACACCTTTGCTGTCCAACCAAAGAAAACTAAATGTTCTTGCCATGTTCCTACCAAGTGACATGTGCCCAAACAATGCCCAATAGGGAAGCTGAAAAATACTTGATGGAAACTCACTCTCACAGGAGCAAATATAATGTACACCCAGAAAACACATTCACTAGAGCACAGGTGTTTCAGTTCTCCAGAACACTCTAGTCATGGAAACACCGAGTCAACGGTGAGGTGGTTGAACATTTCTACTACTTGACTTCTCTGAATATCCTTATACTAAAACACAGATAATAAAAGGTGATCTATGTCAAGAGTGGCTGTTGTGGCACAGTGGGGTAAGCTGCAGAGTACCTGGGATCAAGTCCTACCTCCATTTCCAATACTGCTTCCTACCAAGGCACCTCAGAGGTAGCAGACAATGACCAAAGTACTTGTGTTCCTGCCACCCATGTGGGAGACTGGGATGGAGTTCCTGACTCCTAACTCTGGCCAAGTTTTGCCTTCTGGAATTCCAACTACCAATAACAACCATTTATGTTTTCAACCATGGGATGGTCTCCATGGGAAGATCTTTTGATAGAAAGTTACTGTCCTGTAAGCCAGACAGTAAGTTCATTAACCTCCTAAGGGATCCGTATCTGAGTATTTTCCACCAGACATGACATGAGCAGGATGTGCATGGTTGATTCTGTCACTGCTCACCAAGTTCCATAATTGCTTTTAACAACTCTGTGACACTTTCAGCTTATATTAATCATGTGTCAATTAAAGTATCTATGGACTCTTATAATAATCAAATCTACACTTACTAAATAGATATTTTTAATTTATTTTTTAGGTACTTGGATTTCTACTTTTTTTTAACTTTTATTTAATGAATATAAATTTCCAAAGTACAGCTTATGGATTACAATGGCTTCCCCCCCATAACTTCCCTCCCACCTGCAACCCTCCCCTTTCCCACTCCCTCTCCCCTTCCATTCACATCAAGATTCATTTTCGATTTTCTTTATATACAGAAGATCAGTTTAGCATACATTAAGTAAAGATTTCAACAGTTTGCTCCCACATAGAAACACAAAGTGAAAAATACTGTTTGAGTACTAGTTATAGCATTAAATCACAATGTACAGCACATTAAGGACAAAGATCCTCCATGAGGAGTAAGTGCACAGTGACTCCTGTTGTTGACTTAACAAACTGACACTCTTATTTATGGCATCAGTAATCACCCTAGGCTCTTGTCATGAGTTGCCAAGGCTATGGAAGCCTTTTGAGTTCGCCGACTTCGATCTTATTCCGACAGTGTCATAGTCAAAGTGGAAGTTCTCTCCTCCCTTCAGAGAAAGGTACCTCCTTCTTTGATGGCCCATTCTTTTCACTGGGATCTCACTCACGGAGATCTGTCAGTTAGGTTTTGGTGGTGTTTTTTTTTTTTTTTTTTTTTTTTTTTTTTTTTTTTGCCAGAGTGTTTTGGCTTTCCATGCTTGAAATACTCTCATGGGCTTTTCAGCCAGATCCGCGTGCCTTAAAGGCTGATTCTAAGGCCAGAGTGCTGTTTAGGACATCTGCCATTCTATGGGTCTGCTGTGTATCTCGCTTCCATGTTGGATCGTTCTCTCCCTTTTTTATTCTGTCAGCTAGTATTTGCAGACACTAGTTTTGTTTATGTGCTCCCTTTGGCTCCGAGTCCTGTCATTATGATCAATTGTGAACAGAAATCGATCACTGGGACTAGTGAGATGGCATTGGTACATGCTACCTTGATGGGATTGAATTGGAATCCTCTGGGATATTTTTAATTTAAATACATGTCTATTAATTGACTATATAACATTTATTTATATTTTGGACTTCAACTCTTTCACATTTTGTTACCTGAAATTAAGACACCCTTTATAGTACAAAATCAATTATGAATTCGAGAAGTATACATAAATTGTTTTTATCCAAGTTACTGATAAAAGCTCCTAACAAAATACAAATAAGGAATGAAACCACTTGCATGATGCTAAAAGTTCACCTCTAGTTCACCTCTGAACTTGTTAGACATATTAAGTAAATTAGCTAAAGCAATTATAAGTGTATTCATGGTTTTCCTTAACAAAAGTATGGAAGAATCATTGATAATTAAATACAGTCACAAATTCTTATAAATACTTCTTTAGAGTTACAGAGTCCTTTTAGAGCTACCCTGTTTTACCAGTTCATTTCAGAAGCTTACTACAGCTAGAGTGGCCAAATGCACAGAGCAATCACTTTAATATCTTTTAAATGCCTCTACTTTGGTCAAACAGGGCCAATCTCAGCCCTGTTCTATTATAGTCATTGGAGATATAATACTTTTTAGGAAAGAAAAAAAAAGTAAGAGTCAGGGATAGGAAAACACTGAGGACACTCCACATATTTCTTGTGCATGACTCTCACCACCAAAAAATATATGAGAGAATTTATATGCAAGTAAATATGGCAAATGGATACACAGGAAAGCCCTAAAGTATAAAGCCATAAAATAATAACTCTTTCCGCATTGTAGATACTAAACATCAAATTTAATAGTTTGTCTAAGCTCTAAAGGAAACTTGGCAACAGTTCAAATCTGAAATTTCCTTTGGGGAGCTAAGCATATATGTACAAGATGCCTACTTCCTGATAATAAATACTTAAAAATATCACTTTGAAAGGTGAATCAAAAATACAGTAGAATGGGAAACAGAAAACACTTGACAAAAATAATTTAGGTAGATGAAACTGAATTTACTAAAATTACTTCAAAAAATGGAGACACATATGGGGCCGGCACTGTGGCTCAGCGGGTTAACGCCCTGGCCTGAAGCGCCAGCATCCCATATGGGTGCCAGTTCAAGACCTGGCTACTCCACTTCCCATCCAGCTCTCTGCTATGGTCTGGGAAAGCAGTAGAAGATGGCCCAAGTCCTTGGGCCCCTGAACCCACGTGTGAGACCCAGAAGAAGGTCCTGGCTCCTGGCTTTGGATTGGCACAGCTCCGGGCATTGCAGCCAATTGGGGAATGAACTATTGGATGAAGACCTCTCTCTCTCTCTGCCGCTCCTGTCTCTGTCTAACTCTGACTTTCAAATAAAGAAATAAATCTTTAAAAAAAATCACTTCTTGGCCTTTTGGCTAAGATCAAGTGTAATATCTGTTCTTATCAGTTAAAAAAAAATAGAGACACATACTTATTTTCATTGGCTTAACCCATTTTTGGCCAAAACTCACTGATAGGAATAATTTAATTTGCAAAGACCAACTATATTAAATAGATTGATGAAAAGGGAACTATTGCTTTGACATTTACTTGGGAATGAACTGACTGACTGATAGGAAAAATCCCAGTCTTGGTAAAGACTGGCTGCCATAAAATCAGAACTCAAAAGCAGAGCTTTGGAGGACTCTGCTAGCATATGCTCAGGGCATATGAAACAGATCTATAATTGTTAACATTAATGTTAACATTAACATTAACATTAACATTAACATGTTTGATTTCAGGGCTCCAGGAGAGCAACTGCTTTTCCATGAAAATAAGGCAACATGAAAAAGGCCTGTTCTGAAGAGAATATACTACATATAAAGGAGCCTGGAAACTGGATTAGTAAAGAACTATAGCCAGAAGATTTTAGTTCTTCAGTTTTGACATTTTTGTATCTGAAATGATGACAAAACTTAACACACAGGGTCACTGCAGAAATCAAAGAAAATAATTCAAGTAAAAAGGGACATACGCAGACAGTGGATAAGCATTAATTATTTCTCCCAGTAAATACTATGCTTCTTAAACTAGAATTAGTCTTATCCTTTTTATGCCTTGAATTTTGTACAATCTCAGACTCACAGATGACTTTAATAAACATTTGGTATATAAATGAATCACTACTCAGAAATCATAGCCAAAAAAAAGACCATTCTCATTGCATGCATATTTCAGCTAGACAAATAAAATGCAAAAATAGCTTATGCTAGAATATAAAACAAATAAAATATAAAGGATGAGTAGTTATAATGCTCAAGTGTTCATTCTCTGCAAATAATACACATAGGTACTATCATGCATTAACAAGAGGGATACATTAAGAAAATGTTGTGATTATGTAAACATCATAGCATGTCCTTACACAAACTAACACGGTTCTGATGTCACTGAGCAATATAATCTCAAGGAATCTCCTTTACATATACGGTCCGTTGCCAGGTGAAATGTAATTGTGCAGTGCATGGCTGTATACGGTTTAATAGTTCAAATATATTCTGTTGACAAAAAATACTCATCTAAGTGAACTGGGAGCTTGTAATGGAACTGATCACAATCAAAGCACCTGAGATGCAGTGAAGTAAAAAGCAAATTCTTGGTGTGATTATCTAACACAGCATGTTTACTTCAGTATGATGCCACCACTGCCAAGTATTTTTCATACATGTTCACTCTTCATAGCAAACCTTCCTAAATGCAGTCTGCATTCTGTTTATGTTAAACTCTTACTATCAAAAACAATGTCCATACTGTAACAATCTTGGGATGCACACGGATTTTATTAACAAAAATTCTCTGAAAATAATTTAAGGAAAGCAAGTTACCTGGGTCTGTAGAGACAATAACATAGGTGTTTTGTTTGAACTCTTTTGGCTTGAATGAATATTCTCATCCAAGGGTCAAAATACAGAACAGATGCATAGGCTCTGAATGACCATCTTTCTGGAAAGCTGGAATAAAAATACAACAAAAGTTACGATGTAGAGGATACAATCATAATATCCCTTTAAGAAGAGAAAAAGCATAGTTGCTGCCTGGGACACCTGCATCCCTTACTGAGGTGCCTGGGTTGAAGTCCCAGCTCCACTTTCAATTCAGCTTCTTGCTAATGTTCACCCTGGGAAGCAGCAGGTGATGGTTCAGATAGTTGGCTCCTCACAGGGCAGAACCAGGCTGACTTCCTAACTCTGGGCTTCAGCCTGCTCCAGGCCTGGCTTGTGGGCATTTGAAGGGTGAACCAGTGGATGGGAGATCTCTGTGTTTCTCTTCCTTTGAAATAAAAATTGGAAAAATAGAAAAGGAAAAAAATAGACTATTAGCTGGCGCTGCGGCTCAATAGGCTAATCCTCTACCTAGCGGCGCCGGCACACAGGGTTCTAGTCCCAGTCGGGGCGCCGGATTCTGTCCCGGTTGCCCCTCTTCCAGGCCAGCTCTCTGCTGTGGCCTGGGAGTGCAGTGGAGGATGGCCCAAGTGCTTGGGCCCTGCACCCCATGGGAGACCAGGAGAAGCACCTGGCTCCTGCCTTCGGATCAGCGCGGTGCGCCGGCCGCAGCGCGCCAGCCGTGGCGGCAATTGGAGGGTGAACCAACGGCAAAGGAAGACCTTTCTCTCTGTCTCTCTCTCTCTCTCTCTCTCACTATCCACTCTGCCTGTCAAAAAAAAAAAAAAAAAAAAAAAGACTATTGGGTTATAATAGAAGCTTGAGGAACTTTTCTGCTAAAAGTAATGACACCACAAACACCAGAAATTTTGCAAAACTCACTTCATCAAGCGGGCCTCTAAATACAAAAACCTGTGTAAATGACCTAACCTTTTGTTAGCAAAAGGTAAAACTTCTGTTTGGTTGAACGGAAATTTGTTGGCAACCCTCCAATTCTAAGTAGACTTTTCTCAGTAATAGAAAATAGGCTTTTCCAATCTACAGATTTAATGCAATCCCCATCATAATACTAATAGCATTCATCACAGAATTAGGAAAAACAATCCTAAAATTCATATGAAACCACAGACTCTGAATAGCCCACGTGATCCTGAGGAGAGGGAAAAGAATCAAGGTGGAAGTATCACAATACCTGATTTCAAAGCACACTATTAAGCTACTGTAATTAAAACAGCATGGTGCTGGCATAAAAACAAGCACATAGATCAACGAAACAGAATAGAGAGCCTAGAAGTTAATCCACATTTATATAGCTAACTGTTTTTGACAAAGATGCCAAGAACATATATATTGGAAAAAGGACAGCGTTTTCAGCAAATGGTGCTGAGGAAACTGAACATATATAAGCACTGAAATTAGATTCCTACCTCTTACCATAAACAGCTGAAGATGGATCAAATTTCTGAATATAAGAGCAGAAATTATGTACTGTTGGAAGAAAATTATGAGACACACTGCAAGACTTTAGTGTAGATGATGACTTCTTGGATAAGACCCCAAAAGCACAGGCAATGAAAACAAAACTAGACTTAGGGGATTATATCAAACTCAGAAGCTTCGGCATAGCAAAGGAAACAATCAATAGAGTTAAGAGACATCTGGCTTTATCTAACTCTACCTTTCAAATAAATAAATATTTTTAAAAAACAAACTGAACACAGACTGTTGATTACTAGAGGTTGGGAGGGGTGGGAAGAAAAAAGGAGTTTGGATCAAATACAAAACCAAAACCAAAAAAAAAAAAAAAAAAGGAGATATTGGGTATGATTCATTAATTGTGACAATGATACTAATATGAGACATTAGTAGAAATGGGGTGAAGGGTATATGGGAACTTTATGTATTACTACATCACAATTTATCTTTTGTAAATTTTTTTAAGATTTATTTATTTATTTGAAAGAGTTACACAGAGAAAGAAGTAGAGGCAGAGAGAGAGAGAGAGAGGTCTTCTATCTGCTGGTTCACTCTGCAATTGGCAGCTTCTTCCAGGTCTCTCATGTGGGTGCAGGGGCCCAAGGACTTGGGTCATCTTCTACTGCTTTCCCAGGCCACAGCAGAGAACTGGATTGGAAGTGGAGCAGCCAGGACTTGAACCAGTGCCCATATAGGATTCTGACACTGCAGGCAGGGGCTTTACCAGCCACGCCGCAGCCCCGGCCCTTCTTTTGTAAATTTTAAATGATTCTGAAATGAAATGTTAAAAAGTAAAAAAGAAAATATACTTTTATTAAAACATTGGATGGGAAGGAAAAAATCAACTCAAATAAACAAAACAATTCCCCTGTTGAAACATAACAAAAATAATGTGGGTACACATAAATGAAAGGCATTCTATTAACTAACTGTAGACAAATACAATAAAAATGTTTTGTTTCCTTTTCAAAATTATGAAGAAATGTAAAATTTTATTAATTTTATTATGTGAAATGAATATTAAAATAACTATTTATGGCTAGTTGAATGAAGAGTCCAACAACTTATTAGTGAAACAGGAGAAACTAGAAAAATAGAGAAGGCAATAAAATGGGAGGAGAAACAATGCAAATAGCCAAAGAAGAAAACTGTACAACTGCAGATTGTTGGGAAATCACTGTCCCCGCACAGTAACAACTCTAAGGACCTTCTGTACTGAAGTTCACTTATGAAATCCAAGTCTTCTCCAATTAGACAAGAAATAAAGATCAAAGGTAGGCCCAGCCGTGCTTAAGAAGTAGTGATCTCTACTACTGGATTGCTAAAAAGGCTACCATAGAAGCTGTAAAGCCACACAGTCAAACAGCCAAATAAGGAGCAGTAAAGCCATCATTTCCACAATATCACCTTAAATCCAAACTGAGAAAAGGGCTTAAGGGGATGGCCCAACACAATTACACCACGAACAGTTACTTGGTAAGAAAGGACAGAGCTGTGAAGAATTTTTGAAAACATAGATGAAGTCATAAGAAATCCAAGGATTTCCCAGTTGGTTATAAGTTCCTTCAAGCTGGATCTGCAGTTCAAAAAAAAATCAGGAATTTCTTTTAATTGTTTAACAGGAAACTACTGTTAAAATATGCCTCGAGTAGAATATTCCCAGTACAAAGTATATAAAAATATCTAGCCCAAGGCTATTATTCCATAAAAACTAATGCATATTCCATAAATACTAATGCATTTTTAATCTAACAAGAGAAGGTGATCGCATTTGGTTGGTGCAGTACAACAATGTGGTTTAGTACATCAGAAGTGCAGAATGAAGTATGAACACACTTGTTTAAAATTTTTTCTTAGGATGCTATAAACAATCCAAGGATTCTCTGCCATTCTTTAAATACTTTCTGAATCTCCCGATTTGAAATGGCCCTTACAGATAGTAATTCTTTCTTTGACCTTGCTCAAAGCTGACAGATTTCTACAATTTGAAGGTAAAAGTCAAAAGTAATTTAGAGCCAAGTTTGAGAGTTTGAGAAATATTGTGAGAAACCAAGCTAGTTAAGCAAGTGTTGGTTAACTATATTGGCATAAATATATATACATATATGTATACAATATATATGAGAACATTAATACTTTACCTTTTGATAGCTCATTTGATTGGTTTGTTAATAAATATTTACAGGGAATTATCCATAGCATGCGAATTAGAGGTCCTTAAGACCTCCCTCATGGGAGGAGATTGACTAAAGGACTCATGGGCCTCAGCATATGGTTGCATCCATGGCTAAGATTCATCACAGCAACAGAGAAAGGATGGAAAGAAGCTCATGAGTAGAGCTGGGTTCTCTTAAGTTCTCCCCTTGTCCTGAAGGACTGCACAGGGACAGGCTTCCCAAAGCTGTGAAAATGCGGTCATGTATGTGAGGTTTCTACTTAAGAATCCTCCTTGGATACTCAGATCCAAGGTTTTTATTGGGAGCTGGTCACTTAGACCCCTTTTGCCTAGCAATGTATCAATGTGCCAGAGACCCAGAAGGAAAGAAAATTTTCAAAATAAAGTATACTGCTTGCACAGTCCAGACACGGCTAGCCATCCTTATCAGTTAGGAAAAGTTTTATATCAATGCAGAGAGCTGTTCATCAGTCAAGTTTCTGAAAGCCAGCTATGGAGCAACCATGCAATCACGTACGTGCCAACTTTTTTAGTTCCTGTCTGCATGTGACAAACAGAATGGTAAAATTTCATATTTGTAATATCTGTGATAGAAAAATGACAAAAGAAGCTACATACAAAAACTGTAGGGGGTTGGTGCTATGGCGTAATACGCTAAGCTTCTGCTTCTGGTGCAGGCATCCCATACGGGTGCCGATTCTAGTCCCAGCTGCTCCTCTTTCAAACCAGCTCTCTATGACCTGAGAAAGCAGTAGAAGATGGCCCAAGTGCTTGGGGCCCTAGACCTGCATGAGAGACTGGGAAGAAGCTCCTGGCTTCAGATCAGCCACTCAATCATTCATTTTCTGCTTATCTGTGTTCCTTTCAGGCTATAAACTCTATAAGAATAGCATCCTTATCAATAAATAAATGCTTATCAATAAATATTTGTTGAATAAATAATCATTCAAGACTTCCCTGGCTTAATGTAGAATAAACAGAAGTTCCCTATATAAGAAGGATTTTTAAAAAAAGATTTATTTATTTGAAACAGTAACAAAGAGAAAGGGAGCAGAGAAAGAGGGAGAGAGGGAGGGGAGACCCTCCATGTCCTGGTTTACTCCCCGAAATGTTCACAACAGCCAAGGCTGGGCCAGACCAAAGCCAGTACCAAGGACTCTATCCAGGTCTCCATGTGAGTTACAGGGACTCAAGTACTTGGCCCATCACCTGCTATCTTCCCAAATCCATTAACTGAAAGCTGGATTGGAAGCAGAGACACTGGGACTTGAATTGACACTCTAATATGGGATGTAGGTGTCTCAAGCAAAGCCTAACACACTATATCACAACATCTGCCAGTAGAAGGACTTTTTAATGAAAGAGCACCTTCAATGATGACGTGATCAGCCTGCATAAAGCAAGCCATTCACTTGGG